TACCAGACTTGCATATCGGGTCGGCGGGGAGTCTCAGCGGCCAGAGCCTCGGCAACTTGTCTGCCAGCTCAAAGTTGTGCCACTTTTGGCAGATGAGGATATCGTGCTCAAAGTAGGTACATGCACGGAGGGCATACGAGTCTTTCGTGTGAGCGTAGGCGACGGCACGGAGGCCGCGGCCGCACACTATGTCCGTGTATAGACCACGGCCAACCGAATCGGAGACAATATGAATGGTCCTCCCTTCGAGGTGGGTAAAAAGTGTCTCAGTGTCGAGCTTGGTGATAAAGGGCGATCCAGGCTCGGGGATAAAGGCAGTATCGAGGCCGTGGACGCCGATCCTGCAGCGTATGATCTCGCTGCGCGGAAAGAAAGAGCCGGGTTCGTTGTGGTCGTTCACGCCGATCATGCACCGGCTCTCGTCAGCCCAGGAAGTCAGCTTGCAGGCATGCGGCGCGATGGCGTCTTGGAGATCAGCCGGATTGAAGACAAAGGCGGCGTCTGGGATGACGACAACATCGTGGGACTTGTGTCGCGGATTCTCCGTCTCGACGCTCATGGCCTTGTACTTGTACGTCACGTTTGTCTCGCGCGAGAGCGAGGTCTTGCACGATCGCTCCAACGCCGACTTTGGATCCTCCCAGACACGCGGGGCGGAACAGAGGTCAGTAACACACGCCGGTAGATCCTCACTTGCCGAAGTCGACACCGTGGCATCGATTGTCTCCGGCATCGACCAACCAAAGAACTTGCGCGGAACTCGCCGAAAGACGCCACGGAAATGCGGCCGATCATACGGACCAAGAGTAGACCCGGGCGTTATGGGCGAAGGCGTGGCAGCAGACGAGGATGAAGTTGATGGCGCCGGAGGTGCAGGGGGCGCGGGGGCGCGGGGGCGCGGGGGCGCGGGAGGTGCATGCAAAGTAACAGAAGGAGTGGCAGACGAACTGTTGGACGACGGAGCTAAGAGCGAGAAGAGCGGGTAGAAGACCAAGAGCACGGCGAGGACGTAGACAAGCCGAACATTAGCAAAGGACCAATAGCCACACAAGGCTCTATCTGAAGAAGAAGAAGGCTCTCGCATGGATGATGACCGAGCTGAAGGACCGACGAGTGGGTAAGCCGCAGAGTCGATGCCGACCCGCCAAGTGACAGTTTAAAAGACGTTGGCAGTTTCGTTGGCAAGACGGACAACCCCCTTTTTTCCGCTCTTTGGTGTGGGTCCGTCTGCACTCTCACCATGATCGCCTTTGTTTGTGCGCGGCTGTGACCGCTGCTGACTCGTCGGCGGGCCGAGCAGCTATTGTGTGGCTCACTGACTTTGGCACCACGTTGACAGCACTCCATCCCTCCACGCGGGAACGGTCCGCACGTAATGCCGTACCAAGCAATGTCCTTGGCGCTGGGCCCACCGTTTCACTGCGCCTGGCGCCGCGTCATCCCCCCTTGTACAGCGACTTCCACGCCTCCCAATCGTGCCACCCCACCCCCCCTCTCCCATCGATCGACTGCTCCACATGATTTGGTTTCTTCATTTGCTGCCCGAGCTGCGCTACGTGGTGTGTTCTGAAAAGAACACAGGTTGTTGTTGTTGTTGTTGCTGTTGCTGTGAGCTTGCGCCCGCCAGCGACACCATGCTTAGCCACCGAAGCCGTAGAGGGTGCGGCCCTGGCGCTTGAGCGCGTAGACGACATCCATCGAGGTCACGGTCTTGCGGCGAGCGTGCTCGGTGTAGGTCACCGCGTCGCGGATGACCGACTCGAGGAACTGCTTGAGGACACCGCGGGTCTCCTCGTAGATGAGGCCGGAGATGCGCTTGACACCGCCACGGCGAGCAAGACGCCGGATCGCGGGCTTGGTGATACCCTGGATGTTGTCCCGAAGGATCTTGCGGTGACGCTTAGCGCCGCCCTTGCC